AGAGATTTTGTGCATTTTGTCTTTGTACTGATGTTCATTAACATGAATAGAATGATAGAATAATAGAAAGAACGACAGAAAAATGGAACAGTAGACAGAACAACAGATAGAAGGATAGAACAATAGAACGATATATAGATAGTAGATGGATGGATGGATGGATGCAGATGAAAATGCTTCATTGGTCAGAGAATAAACATTCTTTTAAAAGATTAAATAAATAAATAAATACTTGGCCCATCAAACAGAAGCATGGGAAGCTACTATTTAAAAAAACAAAAAAAAACAACAACAAAAAAACATGCAAATCTTAAAAAAACAACATGCAAAAACCAACCTAACCAAAATATTTTTAAAAACTGGATATTCTCAGTACAAGCTTTTAAACTAATAGGAAAGCATTTAATCTTTGTAAAATCTTCCTGCATGAAAGTCTGTGCTGTAAATCACATACTGCATGTCAAACATAAAAGCTAAAACAGTTCAGCCGTGTGACCCACAGAGATAGTTAGAGTGTATTGTGTTGATGTCAGAACAGCTGGGCTCCGCCACAGCCTCACCGCTCATCACAGTCAGCAGGTGTGCACATGCACAGAAACAAACACTAACAATGTGCCTGTGATGCAGCAGAACAGCATGTTTGATAGTGTGTAAACTGTGAGCATCATCTAAATCTGTGTTTTTCCACCTTCTGCTCGTTAGAGAAATAAAAGAAACCGTGCCACCCTAATCTTCCTAAACTGTTGCTCACTCTGCATATTTCACAGGTTGGAAAGCATGTGGAATTCAAAAGAGATTCCCCTCTTGGAACGTGACACTTGCGCGCACAATTACCATCATTCCCGGGCAATATGTTCGAACAGAGGACATCTTCACGTCTGCTACTCTACCTGATTAAAAGTGAAATAATTGCCCCTGTCACAGCCTTTGGTTCTGGTATGACATCCTCCTCCTGTCGAAATCCTGCTTTAAAAGCATGTTTTCTTGTGGTGCCCATTTTCTAAGAGCTGCCATAAATAAAAAACAAAAACAAAAAAAAACAAATGAGTCACCACAGCAGCTCTCCAACGTAGGAGAGTGGGGTGAGGGAACATTTCCAAATCTGCACTTCACTTATCTATAAAAAACCCATGCGTTTACCGAATAACACATCCGGTGCCGGGAACTGTGTGGTGGAGGGGTGAAAATATTGGTAAATGGATTGTATAACAAGTGAGGATGTCAGCTGCCTCACACTCAACGAGGAACACATCAGCGAGCGTGTGTGGACATCATCCATCAATGCAAGTGTCCGTGCAAGTGCTACATTTTGCACAAGACTGCAGACTTTATTCACATGTGCTGCAGACTGCTGATAATGTCAGTCTGGTGTCTCTCGCTCTGCGTAGACAGCGGTGAGAGACAGCTGCGGTTGGGCGGGGTTTGAATGTAGAGCATGGCCTCGCTTTGCACCCTGCTGCTATACAGTGTAACACGAAAAAAAATAGGGTTTGACCAGCTCTGTGGTGGAGGTGAGGGCACAAACGGTCCGGTGCCGTCTGAGGATGCAGAAGACACATGTGCACAGGCATTCTGCCCGGTAACAATCGAAAGCAGAAAGACGATTGGCCGACACGGAGTCTTTAGTTCTCAAACTCTGTGGCCTCTTCACGCAGGCATGGCGCCAAACATGGGGCTCCCTCCCCTGCATTAATACATTCAACCTCTCATCTTGTCTTTAGAGACAGATTCATTTGAATGTTTTTGTGCAAAGTTGATTTCCAGGGTCAAGCCTTCAAAGTTTAAACATGCATTCATTAGCGATGGCTTTGAGAAACCTAAAACCTTTTATTTTTCCATTATTCCCCAAATCAAAACGCACTTCTCAAGGCTCTTCGCTTGAGAAGTCGTGCTAGGGGAGAAAGAGAAAAAGAGACTAACAGCAAAAAAAGTGCACTGAAAAGAGGTTTGAGAAGCGAAGCAGCATGCAAATAACTCACTCTTACAAAGTCTGACAGCCACTGATTTTTTTTTTCGTATTTCACTCTATTTTTCGCTGTATTGTTTGATTGCGTTTGTGGCAACTCATTTCTATCCTTTTAGCAGGGCCATCCGGCACTCTCTTTAGATACACACTCAAAAGCAACACAAAAGGAGAAAAAGAACTGAGAGGGTGAGCAAGAGAACGAGAGGGCACAAAGAAAGAGGTAAAGCTGGGGTTTTGTCCTGAGGTAAGGCATTAGACAGCTCTAGGGGAGCGAGGATGGGAAATGAAAGGTTGTATGGGTTAGTTGAAAGCGGGAGTTTATCTGAGCCGGACTCTAGAAAAACACACAGTATTTATTAACCAGGGACACTATCAGGAGGAGTCTACTCATAGTTTAAACAAATTGGTGGAATTGCAATGTTCAACGAGATGAACTCAGAAGATAAAGTTAGTCTGGATTTCTAATTTCAAATAGCCAGTTGGCTTTTTGGGAGATTCAACTCCTGGTTTTTCAATGTAGAAGGTAGTTTGCTGGTTTAGGCTAGTAAACTGGTCTCCCAGTTTTGGCCAAGCTGGAGTTCAACAAGTTTGCCACAAGGTCTCTCAGTCTCACCAACTGAAAAATGTACAAAACCCCTGTAGAACAAGCACAATGACTAGTGAAAATTAACCACACTGTTGTCCACCCTTCTGTAAACACCTCTAAATTAATCAAAAATGACTAGCTTGACCAGTGGAAGCCAAGTTAAAGGGGTCATATGATGCTATTTTAAAGATCATTATTTTGTGTATTTGGTGTAACAGAATATGTTGACATGCTTTACATAAAATGCGTTGCACAAATTCGAACATCTGGGTTGTGCTGTTCTGTTGTAAATAAATCTTAACCAATGATTCCTAATTGCATCTACTTCCGGAAGGCCAAATAAAATGCTTTTGCTTTCGCACTGAATCACACAGCGTCTCCCTGACATGGCTGCATCAACACGACTGCTGTTCCTGAAACCACGCCTTCTTTCTTTGCGTGCACATTTGGGCGGCATTATGCTTATATTTCCACATAGTGACGTAGATATGTGGGGGCGTGTTAGAATGAGCCGTTTTAGGTAGGCGTGGTTGACTCTTAACTTTTATAAAGAATATCTCTTTGGATTTGAGACTTTAGTCTTTGCAACTTTACAGATCTTCTTTATGCACCAAGAGCTTGTAACACTCCAAAGAGAAAGGAAAACTTGAAATCACATCATATGACCCCTTTAAGAACAGTAAACCATCTTAGGTTTTTACGGCAAAGGAAGATAAATCATTAGGGCCCTATAAAATCTTTTTTTTTTTTTTTTCCTGAAATACTGCATTGTGCATTTACATTTTTTTCTGGTAAATAAATTCTAGTAAATAATTTTTCTGGTAAATATTCCTTAAATAAATTATGTTCTAATAAAAATTTTAGTAGTAGTAGTAGTACTATCATTACATTAAATAATATATTTCTGTCACATTTTCTTCCAGTTAAACCAAACTTTTATTTTGACAGGTTGCTGTGAAGACCTGTTTCTGTTTGTATATATGATATGACAAATGATTTTCTTAAAAAAGAAATGAAGAAAGAGTAAAATACTACTGAAATGGCTCAGCTCTGGAGATTATGTTCATGTTTTCAGACTTGAGACAGCAGTCTGAAAACGCCATTCGCTTCAGTATGTGTGTAGTAAATGAAACAGTGTGTCTGCACCATTCATTCACACAGGGACACGCAGAACATGCACGATTCTTATTTAAATAGTATATTTGCGATTTAATATTCACAAACACCAGTCCATATCCTGCTTTCATTTATGTGTACTGACCTACTTTTTATTTATTCACCCAAAATTTGTGTTATACAATAAATTCCATTTTTTATGACCTGATTCCGTGATTCCGTCCACGTTTTCCACATCGCGGTAATCACAGGGACCCTACATTATACCCTTACAAATTATTAGAAGCAAAACATTTGGAAATTCTTGGGTGCACTGCCAAGTTGGCTGCTGAGCAAATCAACTCGCTCCATTAGCATACTAACACTCAAACCAGTTACTAGATCCCTAAACAACTCTGATATGGGCCGAACAGGCACACTTTGTCAAATAAGAATGATAGCTGGCAACCTACTGACTTGGGAATCATGGGATATGTTGAAAAAGGCCAACAGTCAGATCTTACTGTGATGTTGAAAATAGACCAGGTGCTAATTCTAAAAACTAAACACAGAGACACTTACAGATATACTTGTATTTCAAAAATGCTTGGGAATACAATAGAGAGCTACTTTCCAACAATGTGTGGGCATTCATTTTTAAAAGCCGTGACCTCATGGACGAGAGGATGCTGACCTTCAATCGACTACAGAGAAGTCAATACGACTATTAGACTATCGAGATTTCTTCGAGATCCAACATTCCAGAGCACAGTCGATACAGTAGTTAGTAGAAGAGAGCAAAACAGAGTCCAATCCACACAGTGTGATTTATACAATCAGTTCAACCAGAATAGCACTCGATCCCATAATGCACCACGTTCTTTATTTGCAGACATAGTTGCATTAAACGCAGTTAGCGTTAATGTGTTTCTCAACAGTAAAATCACAGTCACCCACACATAGGTACTCTAATGTTAGTAATTGAGTATGTTACTGTTGGTCATTCCAGTGCAAGTTAATTTTAGCAAGCTTTTTCCTTTTCAGTGCTAATACTACAGTAATTAAACTGGCACTCACAGTGAAGCTGTAGAAATGAGCTAATATGACAATTATCATCTAAAAGAGTCCTTCAGTATATTATAGATGTGGACTCAAACACTGTAATCTGATGATTTGACATAAAACATACTTAAACATGATTTGTGGTGAGACTGATGACAATGGATCCTGCAAGACCAGTTCTACTCCGTCACAGAAATCTAATACGGGCGTTGACTCTCAGACGCAGACATGGAGGTTTCAGATGTGACCTAGAGATGAAGAAGCGCTCTGTTTAGTGATTGTAGGACTTACGGGTGGTGCTGGTAGGGCTGGGCACCCAGTTCTCTGTGAAGTTGACGTTGCACATGTTGGTGCTGCAGCAACAGAATCTGTAGGTGCCATTCTGGATCTGTGATGGCGTGGTGGTAACCACGCAACGGTCGTCATGGCAGTCCTGCTGGTCGCCAATGTAAGTCCAACAGCCTGCAAAGAAGGGATGCAGATGGTTGAGTGAATGAGATACAAAGTCTGTAAGAATGTGTGGGGATGAAAAACATTTGTGTATGTGCGTGGGGTGCGCATTTTAAAGTATGCATTTTGAGAAAAAGTCATCATATCGTATCGTATCCTATATATATATCAAAAATTTATTAATTTTAATATGACAATGAATTAATGCATAATATATATATTATATTTAACATGACAATTAATGAATCATGAATACTAATTTAGCTTTTATTAATTAAGATTTCTAAATGATCAGACATTTTTGTTTAATTTACTGAATGTTCTAAAACACAATCATGCAAACCTATTAATCTGTGTTAGAGTGCAGTTATTAGCTTAATTTAAAAGAATAGTTTAGTCGAGATGTTCTCATGTTCTTATAAACCAGTATGCTGTCATTTTTCAGTGAGTAAAAAGCTTAGCATATAATAGTAGCACACTTTAAAACAACATGGAGGTAATGCTGAACAAACTTTTGAACATATTTTATGGTTGCACTGTCTCTTTAAGAAAAACAGAAGTCAATGGACAGTCCTCATAAGTATATATGCAGAAGTTTTTGAGTGTTTGAGTTCATCCTGACCTTGTTTGACCAGGCGGATCTCTCCGTCATGTGTTTTCTCCCACAGGCCGTAGCAGCGGCTGCTCTTGCTGCACAGGATGGTGTTATTTTCTCTGGTGATGTGCCAGTCAGCAGCCACACTCTGCTCATCCACCTGCTGGTGCTGGTCATTAAAAGCACACTCCCGCTCTCTCTCCTCACTCTGAGCAGCTGCCGAGACACAAAATGAGAAGAAAAAAAAAAAGAGATGAGATTATTAACAAAACACACAACATCCATCAGGAACACTTCCTGTAGGCCTACATACACACTATGGAAAAGCAAAGTGAGCATCTACTTATAACAGTCCCTTTAAGACAAGTCAGGCCACATAGCAGCCATCTTGGGGTCTAATATATATGTGACCCTGTACCACAAAACCAGTCTTAAGTCGCTGGAGTATATTTGTAGCAATAGCCAAAAATGCATTGTATGGGTCAAAATTATAGATTTTTCTTTTAGGCCAAAAATCATTAGGATATTAAGTAAAGATCATGTTCCATGAAGATATTTTGTAAATTTCCTACTGTAAATATATTAAAACTTAATTTTTGATTAGTAATATGCATTGCTAAAAACTTCATTTGGACAACTTTAAAGGCGATTTTCTCAATATATAGATTTTTTTGTACCCTCAGATTCCAGATTTTCAAATAGTTGTATTTCAGCCAAATATTGTCCTATCCTAACAAACCATACATCAATGGAAAGCTTATTTATTCAGCTTTCATGTGTTGCATGTTCGAAAAATTGACCCTTATGACTGGTTTTGTGGTCCAGGGTCACATATGTAGACAGATATTTTAAGTCACAATGAAGTGTATTTTCTAAATGCATGATACATGTTATCCTCTAAACTGAGTAAACTGAGTAAACCACACGGATACGTTTTCTACGTTTATTTATGCTTTGATTTGAACGAAAACAGCATATCCGTGTGGTGCGGCTGACACAGACAAGTAGAACAGTATACGCAGTTTACGTTCAGTGGATACTCTCCAAAATGGCGCTACGGTGACGCGGAGGAGACGAATTGTTGAATAAAGTCGTTATTTTTGTTTTCTTTGCGTACAAAAAGTATTCTCGTCACTTCATGAAATTCAGATTGAACCACTGATGGCAGATGGACTATTCTGACGATGTCTTTCATACTTTTCTGGGCCTTGACAGTGTAATTTACTTGGCAGTCAATGGGACAGTCTCAAGACTCCCGGTTTACATCCAAAATATCTTAAATTGTGTTCCGAAGACAAACAAAGCTTTTACGGGTTTGGAACAACATGGGGGTAAGTGATTAATGACAAAATTTTCATTTTGACGTGGAGTAACCCTTTAAACAAAGTTTTACACATCCCCTGCCTACTGAAATGTTCACTTATTAAATATTCAGGTAAATTTAATAAACTTTCAGCTCAGTACATTCATCTTTAACACAGATTTCCCCCACAATCAATGCAGAAATCTGTGCGCCTACATTACTTTTTTCAGTCCTACAAAATAATTTCCTGCCTGGAGGAAGCTGAAGAGTTAATTCTGTGCGGAGGATAATCAGGTTGAATGTGGGCGCGTAAATCTGATCGATAGCTAAACCTTGATTAATCAGACGCAATAGGAGGGGCGGGGGGATTTGAAACGGTCCGATGGCTTTATGCTGGGAGCGAAACAACAGAACACCTGGGGCTTCCACGGCACCTGCTGCTCCTCCATCCAACCACGTACACATTTGCTTACGTGTACACAATGCGCACCACCCAAAAAACTCCATTACAAAGCTTCCCGTAAGTCACTGTCATGACAACAAGGGAAAGGAGGGGGGAAACAACAGTGCGCTGAGCATACATGCAGAAAACGAACCTTTTGAGCACTGCCGTGTATTTAGAGAAATAGTTTCGAAATTTGAAGCAAAAACAGAATGGTTTGACTTCAGTTTTGTGAAACTATAAATAAAAATATCTGCATGAAACAGCAAAGCTGAACGAGACGCAGATTCCCTCTGCCAGCAGGTGGCGCTTAAACCGTTTCCTTGGTTTCCGCTGTAAACAAAGCAGCGCTGAACTTACGAACTTTAATATGCATTATACAGAGGCAAGATGAAAAGAAAAAATACCATCTAAACTTTTCTAAAGACAGTAAGTTCCCCTCAGACATGCACTCATATAAACTCCTACACCTAAATGAATCGCAATTTGTTTAGCATCTCAACCGATTTGAATCGTCACATATTTAAATCGATTTTCAACCGGCTCGCAGTTAATCGTTACATCCCTAGAGAACACACAACCGTGATGACGGATAAGGGCCCAAGCCAACGGGACTGCCCTCATTTCCATGAGCAGAGCCAGCGGGGCTGAATTCTGCTGTCGGCTGATCGCAATCTCCACCGCAGCTGGCCCGTGCTCACCCCAACTGTATCCAATGAATTAATCCTCTCTCTCCCTCACCAGCATTGTCATGCAAATCGTCAGGCCAGTGTCGGAGTTACCGAGAGGGAAAAATCATAATGCCACTCGTTTAACAGGCTTGGTGAAGTCACAGATCTGGGCTATTGTATTCACAGCGTTCAGACAAGTGAGCTGGGAGGGGGAAAAGCCCCCTGGTAGCATCATCGCCGGTATCCGCGTCCCCTCCGAATCCAGAGAGAGAGAATTGCCGCTGTATATCCCTGGGGGAGGCCTTTGTCTGCTCCTTTACAGGAGCGAAGCCTGAAACGGCTGAACCGGTTTGTATCCCGCCGCACACACACACCAGCAAGTGACAGCGCGAGCATGGATGAATGTGTCCTCGGCGTAACCGCGGATGCCTGGCGCTGCAGGACTCCTCATTATACCGACCAATCCTTAATCTAAAACAGGGCTGCTCGACCCGAGACTGAGGCGCAAAACGGTCCCTCAGCGGCTTGAAAAAAAATTTGTTTCAGTTTGTGAGTCCCTCTTCAAGACAAAACACAGAGCTCCACTGGGGGCTGTAAAGGGATGAGATGCCTCCCAATTACAGGGTAAAGATGGAGGATCCCGTCTCAACTGACGGTAATGAGGGCTGAGCCAGATGGATGACACTCAAGTCCTCTTCCTCTTTGAGCACTTTTGTTTGCGCAGTTATGAGAGAGTGACCGGGGTGTAATATCACATTCATGTTGATTGTTTATTTTAGGCCCCGTCTTTGTTTTTGAGTCAGTGAGACAGGTCATTAGGCGCGACAGTTTCCTGTAATTTGGCTGCGAAGCCGCGCGCCTACCCCACAACACGGGTGCAGAGGAACAAGAGCGGCCTACAGCAGGGCCTTCAGATCCAATCACAAAGCAACACACGGTGAAGGAAAACACTGTAGCGTTTTGGCTGGCTCCAAAGCAACGCCTTAGGCCGTAAGTGGCTTAGAGTTCGAGTGCTGGAGAAAAACAGCAGGACACTAAAGGCTGATTTATACTTCTGCGTCGGACCTACGCCGTAGGCTATGCATCAGTTTTCATTTATACTTCTGCGTCGTTGTCCGCATCAACATGCAGTACACATGCAAACCGCTAGTCTGCAGTGTCCTGAGCATGTTGCTGGTGTAACCCGCAGTACCACGACAAAAGCCGAAGAAATACGGAGGGAGGGGTTCTAGCAGACCAATCACAGCGCTTGCAGTCTGCGTAGAATTAACACGCTGTTAGATTTTTGGAGAGGTGCACGTCAGGCTACGGCGTAGGGTGTGCGTCTATGCATAGGCTACGGTGTAGGTTCGACGCAGAAGTATAAATTGGGCTTAAACCTTAGAGCAGGTCACTCAGACAAAATCTCTGTTTATTAGCATTTGGCAAAGGAGCTTTCTCAACTGTATTCTTAAAAATCAAGAGACTTTTCCTCTCTCAAAACTGACCCATGTTTCCAGTTACTTAAAAGCTGAATGGTGATACAGCCGACCTGACACCGCATAACAGGGCAACAAACAATTTGTTTGTCTTTGTTTACAGCTCTTTTGCCTAGTCTAGGAGGTATATTACAGAATTATGGGTTCTGAATTAAAAAAAAAAAACATATAGTTACTTGAAAAGTAGCATTTTTACATTGGTTGTGTTTCGGTTCTTTTCTTCTACACTTAAGAATTTGATAAAGGCAGAGGTTTGCTTCTATCCCACTTCTGCCTGCAAGAGATCTATGCTGATTTTTCAGTCTTGGTCTGGTTAGATTCTGTCTTGTTCCTGTGTTAGGCTAATTTTTCCAATTCCCAAAATTAATGGGCTTTCCATTGCTTTCCATCACATACAATTGAAAAACATTGAGAATATCCAACCCTGTACCCATGTAAAATGATGTGCCATACATAAAATATGTGCAATAGATTAAAACAAAATACATTTAAGAAACTTTCAATTATAAACTTTTTTGTACATTTTTATTTACTGTATCAGAGTGTATCTAGGCTCAGACTCATTCCCACGGACAGCACACACTCTGTTTCCTAAACGTGCATGTGGAACACTAAACAAGAAACACTTTCGCAAAGGCAAATGTCTAAATATGATATGCTGATTTCCAAAGGTTTTCAAAAATGAGTGTGTGGCGATCTTTACCAGTGAGTGGTCTCTATAGAGCCCAGACCTTATGCTGTTAGGCAAAGACTACAGCAAATCTCAATGAATGGAATTGAAAGCTAAAATAAAATGTATCAATGATATATAACAGATAAATATAGCTACTTTTATTTTAGATGGGGTAGTTGCGTAGCTTGACAAAAATAGGAAAGAGGTGTCTGCCAACTGAAGGCACATCACATCATGCCACCCTGGCTATGTGTAGTACGACACTGTTAATTATTATGGGAACAATTTAGTTTTGTTGCATCAGTGTAGAGACTTTGTTGAGGTTCTAGAGCTCATGTCTGTGTCATCAGCTCTGAAACTGTCTGATGTAAAAAGATATAACATGTGACCAATAGTCACCCAGACACATTGGGGGACTGGAAAATTAAAAAGGTGCTGCTGGCACAATATATATTTATATATTTTTTCTTGAAATCTCAAGTGACGTTTTTCCTCCTAAATAGGTCTGACGGCGTTATCTGAACCTTTCATTCCTGCACAGTAAAGCTGGGATGAGAGCATTCTGGTTAAGTGTTTTCCTCATACCATGATTAATTCATCTTTCACCAACTGGCTCCGTTCCATCCGGACATGCGAAATCTTCGAATCT